CCCAAAAAAGCCCCAAACGAAAAAACAACACCTCAAAACAAAACAAAAAAGCAACAACAAAAACAAAACAAACAAAGACAACAGATCTCCAAAACAAACAAACTAAAAAAGACATCTCAACAAAATAAGATATCAGCATTTTAAAACAAAATCGAAATCTAATAAAAATCAATGAAGCTGTATGAAATGTCCGATGTCGAGAACGCACAGCATAAAAAAAGCCCACGTGAGTAGTTAAAGTTTCTGTCTGACTACTCACCTTTTTCTCCTGAATGTTGATCCAGGTGTAGTAATAATGCCGGAACTCGTCCATCCAGACCTCCGCCATCCGAATATTGTTCCTCACCACCACTTTGCCTATGCTGGTCAGCCACTTGTATGGAGACCTCTTTCTGAAGATGTGACCCACGCGTGAGCAAGGCAGAATCTCAAGAGTTCCACCACACATCCAAATCTGTGATGAATTATTTCTTTGTTAGTTTAGTTTAGTAGAGGGTTTACAGCGCTTGCAACTGCATAAGGTCATATGAGCGCCAGAAGATCAGAGGTGTTACAAGAGAGTAACAAACATAAAACGGAAGAAGGGGAGTTAAGTACGATAGATGTTTGATAGGAAAGAAGCAAACTACACCAGAGCACGGGCCAACCACCCACATTTCACTGTTAATGTTTTAAGCTCCAATCCGGATGATTAGGATAATTTAGAAGTGAGGCTGCTTCGACACTATCTTTTGGGTCAACATGGGCTGAGAGGGATACATTGTCACAGCAGAAGGACATATATTGTTATTATTTAAAAAGCGCATAGATCGTGCAGTAAAGCATGGATATTTCCTATGTAAATGAAGTTATTATTATTTTTATACTTGATAAGGGATTTTGGTTCAGAGAATCGACCTCTCGTCTATTGCTCGTACATTATATTATGACTAGCTGGGCCCCCTTTCGATGAAAGGAATGATCGGTGCATTAACATGAACTGAAAGTCATTGGCATGCTATACTCTACTGGGAAGGAGAAATAAATCTTGAGAGAAAAGTGACATTTGTGTTTCCAAGTTGCAAAATATATAATAGATGTATAGATTGATTCTCTATTCCGCTTTCGTGGTTGTACAGTCCAGAATTTCAGAGGGGTGGAACCAGTGCACATGGCTAGTGAACGGAAACCTCACTTGTTTATAATGGTGTCTTAGAAGACGGACTTTCCCAAGCTTAGATCTAAACGAAACTAATGAAAAACTTAAAATTAAACTACAGTGACTTCAGGCTTCTCATTGAAACTGTGGACCCTTTAAATGATTCTGAACCACCATTAATTTGGTTAAATTCGAAAGTTAAGTGGCTCGGAAGTTTTAGGCGGCCAAAGTGACGGACTTTCACAAATTTAATATGTATAGATAACCACCCAAAGCTCTAATATATATATATTAATACCCCTTCACCTGGATATGTGAACTCGACACATTTGAGTGAGCTAAACTTTTCCTAATTTCCTCTACGCAGAGTGATTTCCCTTTGACTTCTTCAGTACTCATAACAAAAAGTGAAGGCGTAATCTTTTTCCTCTCATTGGTAACGACAGATTCTAAGATTCTAATTGATACTTAAGTCAGTTGCATAATAGGGAATAAGTCAGCTCACTTATCAAAAAGTAAATCACAAAAAATGTATTTAAAACTTAAAATTTAGTATAGAAAGTCATTAGTACAAAATTCACAGACTACTGGGATCCTTCACAAGGTGAGCTATTGACAAATGGTGAACATACCCGGAAGGAAAGTTCTAGGTTCTCTGCTCCCCAGATGTTCATTCCCTCATCGTAAGTGCCGATTTCTTCAAAGAATCTCTTGCTGATGGAGAATAGGCCACCCGCCATGGCCGGAGTTCTGAGAGAGAGAAACAGACGAATGATATTATTCTACTGAGCTTCTGATTAAAGGAAGTACAATAGCTATTCTTGGGTTTAATGAAACTATACTGTATACATGTAATATACACAACTACGATACGGGTGGGTGGTAGATTAGCTATTTAAAAAGTGTTAGTATATTTTTCTGTTCAACTGAGCTGGCGAATCTGCCTTTAATGGGGGGGAGGAGGAGGAGAAGGAGTCCAATATCATAATAATATGGTGTCAAGAAAGAGAGTGAATTTGATAAATCGGCGCATGACTAGGAAAGAGTAAAAAAGTGAGACATTTCCTCTTATGAGACGACAGTAACAATATGGATCAGACCTGATGGGATCGATGCTGGAATGACGACGATCTAGCTCGTGTTTTGGGATCGCGTGCCAGGTGTAGACGAGAGTCCACGTGAACCCCCCAACTGTGATCCCGGCGAAGGTGTACTTGAGCGTCTTGTCGTCCAGGGTATCGATTACAGGAACTGTCACTGTCCTGTAGTCCAGCGCAATACGATCAAGCAGCGGTTCAAGCCAGCCTGTAGGTCAAAAGCGACGGTATTGTGATTTAACAGCTCTAGGGGAAAGCTCAGTTTTAAGTGGTTGGAACCTTTGAGGAATTTAATAATAATAATAATAACTAATAATAATAATAATAATAATAATAATAATAATAAT